GGCTTGAGACACCACGCCTGGCCAATATTATCTTTTTCTCTCCCATTCCATGGAACTTCAAATTGTGCCCAGTATGTTAAGGAGAAAACTGGCCCTTTGTCAAACTTAGTTCTCTGCTTCTCCCTTCTCACTGGGATCTTGCCTCCACTTCTGTTTTTCCAGCCCCGAGACTGCCATCAGCTCAGTTTCTCTGTAAGCCAGCAGTGGCCCACTGCTCAGGCAAAGCCAGATGTCCCTTGGCCTTGTGCAGAGTGGCTCATCTTTAAATGTCCTGACTCTCCCTTCTCTTATTCATACCTTTGCAAGGAAATAGGGTCTATGAGGACGGAGATCACTTTTTTCTTGTCCAGCATTCTAATCCTAGGTTGGGAAATAGTGTCTAATATAATATTGGGCTCAAAAAATTATCAGCTAGATCAGTAAATGCACACAAATATCTCAAACATGAGTTGAGCAATCTCCTTGGCAGGCCTGTAGACAAAAACTAAATAAAGTCCAGAGGTGATCATTCCCCCTAAGGTTAATTATCCACCTAAAACTAACACAGCTTAAATCCAATAGTGGCCACTGTGTCCCTGACCCTAGATTAGATCAAACTCTGAAAACTTCATGTGTACTGGAACAAAGTCATATTGCAAAGATAGGACATCCAAAGTGCTAAAGTCATTTCTGTGCTTTGGTACAGGCTCTCACAAATAGCAAAGCAGAAGGAAGGCTAGATGCTTGTATGGTGGGAAACAGTTCAAAAACTTCATGGCAAAGATGGTCTTTGGAAAACTGGGAATTTATAAATTTATTATTAACTGTGTACTGGGCACCGTGCTAAGTGCTTTCCAAATGTTAATTGATAGTAACCCCACAAGGCTATTGCTATCCCCTTTTTGTACAAAGAGAAAGTGAAGCACAGAGAGGTTAACCAGTGACTTGCCCAAGGTCAGGTAGCTAGTAGATGTCCAAGCTGGCATTCAAACTAGGCAGGCTGCTTCCATAGTCCATGCTCTTCCTTTTGTGGCCTCTGGCATTTGTCTCTGGAGCAATTTCACACTTTTCCAAGGGATCTTGAAGTAATAATGGCATGTTTTGCAGGGGAGCAACACGTTTGTTTAAACTGTTTCCAAGTTCAGAATTGGTTAGATTGGCACTAGCTGCTATAATAACAAAGCTCCAAAGCCTTAATGATTTAACACAATAAGAGTTGACTTCTTACTAACATAAAGCCCATCTGGCAGCAATCGTGGTGATTTGTTGGGGTGGGAGTGGGGAGTTCACGTTCGTAGCTCCATTCAGTCATTCAGAGATCCAGGCTGGGAGAGGCTTTGCCGTTTTCAGCACTCCAGCCTGGACAACAAGAGCAAAATTTAGACAAAAAAAAAAAAAAAAAAAAAAAAAAAAAGTAGAGGTGTGAGACCGGGAGAAAAGACATCTAAAGAATGTGTTAACAAGTCAGTTGCCACTGTGGAGACTGGGGCTTAATTCCACTGGGGAAACTCTGAGAGTCAGAGTAGATATCCCATTCATGGGACATGCAAACAAGGGTTTTTGTGCACCAACTCCTGTCAGCCATTGTTGGAGTGTTTTCCCCCCCATGGGTCATAAATCCTCTAGCCCTCTGGCCTACTGTGCAGGTGGCAGAGCAGATTCCTAGTGCTACAGAATGCCTTCATGCAAGGAACACAGATGCTGGCAGCTGGAAGTGTCCTAATGTGCATGAATGCTAAGGGTGAGGGGGTATGGGTGGGACACTAAGGGTTTCCACGTGGTCTCTGCAAGGATCACCGGTAACACATGGACTCAAAAGACATGTCTTTGTCCCTCCCTGTCCAAGCACACTTCTGCTACGCAATGGGGAATGGGGAGGCACAAATAGAATAACAACAATAAAACTCCCTTTTAGAAAAGAGAGAAGTGGAGACCCATAACCATCATGGGTCAGTATCAAATTTGAAGTTGGGCAGACACTAGGAGGCTCTCAACTAGGGGTTCTGATTAGATCGGAATCTATTCTCTGACAGGAGCTCCTTTGCTCATTGCTCTCCAAGATCACTGGTACCTCCTTCGGGAGGATCTTCATTTTCTATTACCCTCTCTATCCATATCTGGGTATCGAGGAGTTCGTGCTCCTTGGGGCTATGTGACTTTTCACCTACTTGTGCTGTGAAAACTTGAGGACTGTATCAAAGTCTGAATACTCCAGGTTTCTGGTTTGGTTCAGAAAGTAATTATCTCAAAATGTTTGCAATCTTGAGATCTATTTGCTTCCAGTCAGTTTCACGTGGTAGTTTTCAACCTCACACACACAAAGGAAGGTCAAGGGTAGGGCCCGATTCCACCAGTGAACATACTTGAGACATTTTTAGATTTAGATGGTTTATTACTTCTATAAATAGCAACAGAGAAGCATAAGTGAAGATGCCATCTCCCTGGGTCTGATGATTGCAGTATGACCTGTGGGATACTCCATTGCTAAGAAGCTAAATCTAGATAGCAGCTAGTGCTTTCATAGCCTTCAGTCCTATCATGAGGGGAGTGGGGCAGAAAGCCCCATATATCATCAAAACCTGGGAGGTGATGAGAAACTATGTCATGACAGCCTCTTTGGAGAGATAGAAAAGCGAGTGAGAGATACCTTTCTAGTAGCTCCTTAGACACCTCCCATAAGGATGACAAGGTGTGTGCCAGGGCTCAGAGAAGTTGCAGTTCAAGTCTTTGCCTCTATTGATTTGTGTAAGCTTATCAATAGAGTAAGCCATGGCAGAGCTGTTTTATGAAAGTGGTCCTCTCTCCAGTTCTTTCCTAGACATAATTTTAAAATCTGATTGCTGTCTTTGGCCCCATGCCTGTGTCTCTTAGTTGATGGCAACTAACTAGCTTGGGTAAGAAGACCATATTCTTTTTTTTTTTTTTTAGAAGAAGTTTCCCTCTTGTTGCCCAGGCTAGAGTGCAATGGTGTGATCTTGGCTCACTGCAATCTCTATCGCCTAGGTTCAAGTGAATCTTCTGCCTCAGCCTCCTAAGTAGCTGAGATTATAGGCACCCACCACCACACCTGGCTAATTTTTCTATATTTAGTAGAGGTGGGGGTTTCACCATGTTGACCAGGCTGGTCTTGAATTCCTGACCTCAGGTGAGGCACCCGCCTCAGCCTCCCAAAGTGCTGGGGTTATAGGCATGAGCCACCACGCCTGGCCAAGAAACATATTCTTTTACTAGATCTTTTCCACATGGTCGGGTTGTAATGGACATTTGTTGCTCAAAACCTCTCTCAGGTTCATCTCTTGTTTTTAGGACATAGATGAAGCCAGCTTTTTCAACCTTGCAAAATCTCACATACTTGGATGTTTTTGAATCAGGGTCTTGCTGTGTCACTTGGGCTAGAGTGCAATAGTGAGATCATAGCTCACTGCAACCTCAAACTCCTGGGCTCCAGCAATCCTCCCACCTCAGCCTCCCAGTAGCTAGGATCACAGGTGTATGCCCCCACACTCAGTTAATTAAAAATAATATTTTTTAGAGATGGGGTCTTGCAATGTTGCCCAGGCTTATCTTGAATCCTTGGCCTCAAGCAGTTCTCCTGCCTCAGCCTTCCAAAGTGTTAAGATTGTAGGTGTGAGCCACTGCACCCAGCCTGGATTTTTAATTTCTCTTTATTTTTGTTTGCAAAAAGGCCAATTCCCTGTGCTTGTCTTTTTCTTGTAACATCTAATTAAATGTAGCCAGTAGCAACAAACACAGAACAGAATGTGCTGCTGACATTCTATTTTACCTCCTCTTCGCTAGAGCTCAGCGGACTTAGTAGGCCTATGTTCTATCTTCCAGGTCACTGAAGACAATAGTTTAAACAAATGTTTTGCTAGTCAGATTATTTCTGCAGCAATAAAATATCATTTACTAATTTTACTTTTAAATTGTATATTCATTTATTTACACATATTTATTAACTTACAGCATGAGAAACATAAAACTCTATCACTCAAAAAAACTCTATTTTTAGTTTGTTTTTAATTTTGAGAAATATTATCTATGTAGTAAAATACAATTCATATTCCCACCACCCATATTGTAAAAGTAATTATTTTCTCTTATTGTTTCCTGTGTTTTCTTTCCCATTCTATAAACAGAAAATGTTGCCTGTAATCTCACCCCAAGCAGGGTCCGGAGAGACTAGCTCTAGGTGACAGAAGTGCCAGAGAAACAGGAAACTCACACTAAATGCCAGGAAGGTGAGGAGAAAGTTAATCCCCACTCCCAGCTACTTTTTTCTCTTTCATTTTTTTTTGTTTGTTTGTTTGTTTTGTTTTTGTAACAGTCTTGCTCTGGAGTGCAGTGGCACGATCTCAGCTTACTGCAACCTTGGCCTCCCGGGTTCCAATGATTCTCCTCCCTCAAGCTCTCAAGTAGCTGGGATTGCAGGCGCATGCTACCATGCCTGGCTAATTTTTGTATGTTTAGCTCTACTAAACATACAAAATGGGGTTTCACCATGTTGGCCAAGCTGGTCTCGAACTCCTGACCTTGTGATCCCCCTGCCTCAGCCTTCCAAAGTGCTGGGATTACAGGTGTGAGCCACCGCACCTGGCTTCTTTTTTTTGAGACAGTCTCACTCTGTTACCCAGGCTGGAGTGCAGTGGCACAATCATGGCTCACCACAGCCTTGACCTCCTAGGCTCAGGTGATCCTCCCACCTCAGCCTCCCAAGTAGCCGAGACTACAGGTGCCCACCACTGCGTTCGGCTAGTTTTTGTATTTTTTTGTAGAGATGGGGTTTCACCATATTGCCCAGGTTGGTCTCAAACTCCTGGGCTCATGTCATCAGCCCACCTTGGCCTTCCAAAGTGCTAGGATTACAGATGCCCAGATTCATTTGTTAAAAAAATTGTAAATATTAAGATGAGGGGGTCTTGCTATGTTGCCTAGGCTAGTGTCAAACTTACAACCTCAAGCAATCCTCCAGCCTAGGCTTCCTAAAGTACTAGAATTACAGGCATGAGACACCACACCTGGCAAATATGGAATGCTTCACAAATTTGTGTGTCATCCTTCCACATGGGCAATGCTAATCTTTGTATCATTCAATTTTTTTTTTCAGTAAATATGCTGCCAAAGCAAGCATGGAAACCTCAGCTTCCAGGAACATATCATAACCTTTCCCCGTTTTCACCAAAGTTTTCATGGACCACAAACCCACATACAGTTAATTCCCTGTATCTGGGGTTCCACATCTGAGGGAGTCAACCAACTGGGGATCAAAAATATTCAGAAAAAACAAATACAATTTTCATGTAAAATTTCCTATCATGGGGAAAAAACCAACAATAAAAAATAATACAAAATTTAAAAACGCAGAACAATAAATACAAAATTTTAAAATACAGTGTAACAACTATTTACATAGTAGTTGCATAGCATTAGTTATTATAAGTAATCTAGAGATGACTTAAAGTACATGGGAGTATGTGCATAGGTTATATATAAGGCACTTAAGCATCTTCAGATTTTGTTATCTGTAGGCAGCCTTGGAATCAATCCCCTGTGGATACTAAGAAATGGCTGTAACCATTTTCACCCTTTCCTGAAGGACTGCTGTTCAAGCAAACTTTAATATGTATCAAAATCACCTGAAGGGTACAGATTAACAGCCCTACCTAAGTGTTCCTGACTTAATAAGTCTGAGGTTGGACCCAAGAATTTTCATTCCCCCAAAGTTCCCAGCAGATGCCAATGCTGCTGGTCCAGACACCACACAGGAGAACCACTCTATCCATTTACCAGGAGTACCTGGTACTAGAGACAGGCCCTCTCTGCCTATCTAGAGACACAAGATGGGAGAACTTGTCCCCTAGCGGTGAACTCTTGCTCTAAAGACAGGTCAACTCTGGTATCAAGCTCCAGCTGGCTAAAAGCTAAAGGGTGAATTTTTCTCCTCATCTTCACTAGCAGCATCTGTGAATCTCCTTCCTTGTGAAGTTTCTAGTTGGCCCCATAAATGCTGGGAATAGGCTCTCTCCCTGGTGTGGACCTTCACACAGAGATGGGCAGACAGCACGTGCCCAGGAGCAGTGCGGTGTGTCAGGAAAGGCATGGGCAAATGACACAGTTCCTGAGCTTCACTTTCCTCATATTCATAACACGAGACAATGATACCCGCATACTACAGGGTTGCTGAGAAGAGTAAACGGGAATAGGAGCAGGAGTCCCATGTTAACTGTAAAGTAGCTTAGAAATAATAATGTTTACAGATTCAGGTCAGATTTGCACCTTAACAATTAACTGTGGTTTCTTTTTCCCCCCACCTCTAGTGATTTTTATTTTTTGTTTTTAAGGCTTTTTTCACCCTTCCCCCAGCAGTAGCCCTTTAACTTTGAGCCCCGGTGTTACTGATTCTGACTCATTTTGGAAAGAAAAAATCAATGATACTTATTAAAGCACAGTAAGACAGATTTTATTCAGGACCATCAGGAATAGGTATAGCAACCATGGCAAAGGGATTCTGAATTAGGAGAGAGAGAGTGGGCTCAACTCTAAATACAGCATGGGTAAGTGGGAATTTATAGCCAAGGAACAGAAGCCTGGGGTCACTGGATGGAAAATTACTAAGAAGTAACTTCAGGAGTAAAGGGGTTTCTTGCTGAAAATAGGTTAAGCTGATTAGACATCAGCTGGGGATGGTAGAGGATGAGGAGCCTGATCAGATATTCAGAGTGGAGGGTTCTAACTGGATTTTCCAAGGAAATGCACAGATAAACCTACAAGAAGTTTCAGGAGTCTGACTAAAGTTTGGCCAAGCAAAGAATCTTTGTCACCTTCCATTAGTGTATTCAAACACTTAAAACTCAAGCTACTCATTACCATCTTTAGGCTCTAAAAAGAAAAAACAATCAAGGGACATGGCATTATACTTTTATATTAGTAAATCCAAAGTCATTTTCTCAATCTCAGCAGTCAAGAATGAAAAAAAATTTTTTTTGAATAATAAAAAGAAGCAACAAAGTTTACCACTGGTTATCACCGAGCTAAGGTTTTGCAGCCCCATTTTACCCCCTCTCCCTTTGCTCTTTGCCATTTGAACCTTAGGTTCAGTCACAGAATCTCCCCAGTACTGAGGCAGATGGAGAGAAAGAAAACGGAGATGTCCACTGAAGGTGCGGAGGAGGGGAGACCACTGCAGATTTTGGCAAAGATCCCTTTGCATTTGCTGTATAGTAAGTCATCCTTTCTTCCCTTGCCATCTTGTGGTTGTGTCGGGTAGTGATTCCATTCTTGCTATGTTGGAGGAAACCACCCAGTCCGTAGTCAAAAGACCTGGATGCAGTCTTAATTCTACCACTTACTAGCTGTGCGACCTTGAAGCCATCATTTAAATTCCTCCGTTTTTACATCTGCAAAATACATCTACCACTATTTGCCTCATGGAATTGTTTTGGATAATACATCCCACGCATGCCTGGTATAAGGCAAGTGTAAAATATCTATTGAGGAAATCCTTTCTTTCCCTGGCTTTTTTTAAATATTAAAAGAGTATTCCTGGCCTGTGATCCTACCTCCTGAACCGACGGAGCTGGGCTTACTTGCAGTGGAGACTAGGCCCGCCCTAGCAAAGCCCTCAACCCTGAACCCACCAAAGCTTTCCCTGGCCGGGCGCGGTGGCTCAAGCCTGTAATCCCAGCACTGTGGGAGGCCGAGGCGGGTGGATCACGAGGTCAAGAGATCGAGACCATCCTGGTCAACATGGTGAAACCCCGTCTCTACTAAAAATACAAAAATTAGCTGGGCGTGGTGGCGTGTGCCTGTAATCCCAGCTACTCGGGAGGCTGAGGCAGGAGAATTGCCTGAACCCAGGAGGCGGAGGTTGCGGTGAGCCGAGATCGCGCCATTGCACTCCAGCCTGTGTAACAAGAGCGAAAACTCCGTCTCAAAAAAAAAAAAAAAAAAGCTTTCCCTGGAACCCCACCGCCTACGGACCGCCCACTTCCACTTTTGACATTTCCGCTCTCTTGGCTCAGGTGATGATGGCGTCACTTCCGCCGGAAAAGGTGAGCGAGGCCGCGCGGTTGGCGCGAAAGTCGGTTCCAGTTCTCGGCAATTTCCGGGGTCGCTAGCGTTTGCTTTGGGCTAGGGGCGGCGCCGAGTCGGGGGAGGGGGCTGTGCGCCGGGCTGGCGCCCGACCCCAGTCACCGTTCTGCGGACAGCGAGTCCCCCGACTCGCCGCCCGGAGACCCCCAGGCTCCAACGAGGTAAGTGAGGCGCGGAGTGGGGAATCAGCTCCTCCTCGGCCCCAACTGGGGTTCGCGAAGCCTTGTGTGGCCTTCTGGGCCCTCTTTTCCTGTCCTGGTAACTGGCTCTGGGACCGGCGGGTGGGCCTTTGAAGCCGAGAGGACGTGGCTTCCCTGATGCCAAAGCCGGGCCTTTTCATGGAGCTGGGAACCGGAGCATCTAGCCTTATGCGGGGGCATGACCATGCTAACTGGCTTCCATGTTTACATTTAAAATCCGTTTACTGAGGGATGAACGAACCTCGCAGGCCGTGGGCATCCGCAAGGACAGATGCACTCTGTGTATCCTTAAAACAAGTGCAATTGAGTGTCCACTGACAATTGAATGTCCCTAAAGGGCTTAGAGCCTTCCTAGCAGGGCCCTCCTCAATGTATTCAATTCGAGAACGTTAATTTTGCTCTCTGATTTGCAAGGATTGGTGTTGTCATCTTTTTCCTTGACACTGCCCACATTCCAGGGTTTCTTAACAAGTGCCTTTGATGAATTCACGGGCAGAGCCAGAATGTCTATCTTTAGGCATTCTTGCCTGCACAGAAAAATAGGTGGGTTAAACATGCAACTTTATACCTAATGTGGTTTTTGTTCTTGTTAATGGTTCCTTTGACAGTTCAGAAATGTCCAGAAATGACAAAGAACCGTTTTTTGTGAAGTTTTTAAAGTCTTCAGACAATTCCAAATGTTTTTTTAAAGCTCTCGAGGTAAGAGTTGAAAACGTCTTAATACCACGAATTAATTTCCTTGTTTTTAAGTGTTTTTGATTTGTTGGGCATTTATGTCTTAGAAATAGATATTTCACTTTCTTAATTTTATAGTCTACATTAGTACAGATATATCATTGTTACATATTTTTGAATTGATCTAAGTACATCATTATGTGTTTCATGGGTTTCGAAGTCTATTCCACATTGCTGTTTAATGTGGATGACTTGCAGTTCTTGGAAATGAAGTTGTTTCCATTTGTCTCCTAACCAGAGTGGTCCTTAGCATGCTGTAAAAATTTGAGTCAGTAGTGTACTGGTCATAGCTCAAATTTTTTTGGTTAATTGTTAAAAGTTATGTTTTATTATGTACAGCATAATAATTGGATGATAGTAGGGGTGATGTAGAGCCTTGCTTCTCACAGACCACAGCAGTATCAGCATGTCCTGGAATGCAGAATCTTGGGCTCCAACCCAGACTTATCAATTAGAATCTGCATTTTTAAAAATATCTCCAGCGTGCATTAAAGTTTGAGAACTATTTGTAGCAGATTTTTTTTCAACTTCATTCAGCAAATATTTATTGAGTCTTCATGATTCGACAGGCACTTCTTTAGTACTTGGGATACATCAGTGATGAGAACAGGCAAAGATTCCTGTTCCCTCAGAGCTTATATTCTAGCAGGAGGAAATAGACACTAATCAGACACAATATATTAGGAAGAAAAGCAAACGAGGTTAAGGGGTTCCAGAAGATGTTTTTGGGGGGGTGAGGAGAGGAGGGTGTTATAATCTTAAATAGAATGTGATCAGGGAGGGCTTTATGGAGAAAAGGATATTTGAGTAAACGTAAAGGAGGTGAGATAGCCTTGCAGGTATCTGGAGAAGAATGTTTCAGGCAGAGAGAGCAATGTTATATAGCCCCTGGGAAAGTGTCTGTAGTCTCTGTCCAAGTTTAGTGTACTGTTGTGTAGTGAGTGAGGGATGGGGGATGAGTACTAAGGAGTGCTTCAGAGAATAGTGGTAAAGAGGTCATGTAGGGCCCTAGAGCCATTGGAAGGTTTTTTTTTTTTTTTAAACAATCTTTTCTTTCTTTTTTTTTTTTTTTTTTTTTTTTTTTTGAGACGGAGTTTCACTCTTG